AGGTAAGAAAAAAGCAACAGGAATAGATCTTAGAAGAGACACGTATTTTGGCTTTTGTCTTAAGGTATATTTTGGTCCTATCTCTCATCAAGTAATTTCATTTCTGTAATTTTTTATACTGAACGTTCCAGATGAAGGTTAAGTTGGAAAAGCGTTCAGACGATTTTATGACATGGGTGTTCCACTCTTTGAAATATTTATTATAAATAATATTGACACTTTGAAATTCTTCATCTAAGAATCCTGATATGCATATTTCAGTACATTTTTCTTAACTTTTATAAAGGTAGATATATATATATATATATATATATATATATATATATATATATTAGACCCTCTACAAAGAAATTTGTTTCTTATTTATATTTTTTCGTTTGGGCTTGTATTATATTTGCCTTCGAGTTTATATGATCCGTTCATCCTATTTTGACTCTTCAAAATTCAAGAGTCTATCCTAAATTGAGGTAAATTATATGGCCTTCCAAATACCGTTTCGATTCCTAACATCACTGAAGAGACATTAATTATCGAAATCCGGATATGGTGTACAAATTTTTGCACCTCATGTTTACGGTATACCATCTTTTTCGCAAGTTCATTGTTTTCTGTTTGGAATTAAATTATAATAAAGATCCATTTTGTTACATCTTGTGATCCGTTTATTTGGCAATCGCCAATGGCAGTCAGCAGGGTTTAAGAACATCCGTTGTTCGACCTGTACTTGTATATATATATATATATATAAACAAGTCTAAATTGAAAACAACGTTCAAACCTATGATTGCGTTGGATAAAAACCGCAACTTTTATACGTGTGCATGCAACAAAACAAATTTCTTTGTAGAGGGGTCTAAATACAGCACAAACAACATTTTCCAAAAGACCAAAAAAGTGAAAAAGTATATTTTAAAAAAACGCATTTGACTAGCAGGTCGAACAACGGATGTTCTAAAACCCTGCTGACTGCCATGGCGATTGCCAAATAAACGGATCACAGATGTAACACAATGGATCTTAATTATATTAATTTAATACCAAACAGAAAACAATAAACTTGCGGAAAAGATGGTATACCGCAAACATGAGGTGCAAAAATTTGTACACCATATCCGGATTTCGACAATTAATGTCTCTTCAGTGATGTTAGGAATCGAAACGGTATTTGGAAGGCCATATAATTTACCTCAATTTGGGAATGACTCTTGAATTTTGAAGAGTCGAAATAGGATGAACGGATCATATAAACCCGAAGGCAAATATAATACAAGCCCAAACGAAAAAATATAAACAAGTCTAAATTGAAAACAACGTTCAAACCTATGATTGCGTTGGATAAAAACCGCAACTTTTATACGTGTGCATGCAACAAAACAAATTTCTTTGTAGAGGGGTCTAAATACAGCACAAACAACATTTTCGAAAGACCAAAAAAGTGAAAAAGTATATTTTAACAAAACGCATTTGACTAGCAGGTCGAACAACGGATGTTCTAAAACCCTGCTGACTGCCATGGCGATTGCCAAATAAACGGATCACAGATGTAACACAATGGATCTTAATTATATTAATTTAATACCAAACAGAAAACAATAAACTTGCGGAAAAGATGGTATACCGCAAACATGAGGTGCAAAAATTTGTACACCATATCCGGATTTCGACAATTAATGTCTCTTCAGTGATGTTAGGAATCGAAACGGTATTTGGAAGGCCATATAATTTACCTCAATTTGGGATTGACTCTTGAATTTTGAAGAGTCGAAATAGGATGAACGGATCATATAAACCCGAAGGCAAATATAATACAAGCCCAAACGAAAAAATATAAACAAGTCTAAATTGAAAACAACGTTCAAACCTATGATTGCGTTGGATAAAAACCGCAACTTTTATACGTGTGCATGCAACAAAACAAATTTCTTTGTAGAGGGGTCTAAATACAGCACAAACAACATTTTCCAAAAGACCAAAAAAGTGAAAAAGTATATTTTAACAAAACGCATTTGACTAGCAGGTCGAACAACGGATGTTCTAAAACCCTGCTGACTGCCATGGCGATTGCCAAATAAACGGATCACAGATGTAACACAATGGATATATATATATAAAATGACTGAATAATAGCCAACGATAAATCTTACGGGGCGATGGATCATATAAATATGACACAGTACACTACAAAATATAATATATAACCAGTCTAAAAGGGTACAACATCACCAAAAATGACAATAAACGAACAAATGTAACTATAAATATTTCGGATAACAGATATCCTTCATCAGTATGAGCACGATGTAAAATGAATCAGATCAATCTATTCTGATTATTAAACTACAGCAATCTTGAATTCTATACAATAAAAAAAGTGAAACAGTTTCACCCGAACATCATATGTAGAGACGCTAATAAACTTTTAAAATTTCCAAAAAACGACTCAAAGACATGCCTAAAATGAAAATAGTAATTAGAGATATGAACTGGCACAACTCTAAAATTCCAAAATGACGTCAGTTAAGATGTTTTTTTATTGTATAGAATTCAAGATTGCTATAGTTTAATAATCAGAATAGATTGATCTGATTCATTTTACATCGTGCTCATACTGATGAAGGATATCTGTTATCCGAAATATTTATAGTTACATTTGTTCGTTTATTGTCATTTTTTGGTGATGTTGTACCCTTTTAGACTGGTTATATTATATATATATATATATATATATATATATATATATATATATATATATACATACCATTGACGCATATTACACAGCGTTTTCCTGCAATGAAGTTACAAATATTTAACAGCTAAAAAGCATTTTTTAGGTCGTGAAATGTAAATTCTGATCCGAAACTAGTGAATTATAGTTTTAATCTCCTTTCATACAAAGTATTTCCGATTTTTTCTATCGCTTAATTAAGCTTTAATACGATATCTTTCAAAACATTATTTACTTTTGAACTAGCCACTTGCTAGCATTGATCTCTGGCAATGCACTAAACGTTTTGAAGTAAAAGAGTGAGTATACCCATAGAGTATGGAAAGGTATGTCTAAGCATTTATCAGCATATACTATTTTTGTATAATTATTGTATGCTTGTGTGTATGTTTGTGTGTATGGTGTTTGTTTTCATAACTATATATATGTATATCTCTGTGCTGTTGTAACTTATGGTTTATTAGAATACAGATTATTATTGCGGCAATAAGAAGATATGGTATGATTGCCAATTTATGTATAGAAAGAAGAACTAATCATTTATTTTTGCAAAACAATCAGTATTGCGGGTTTTGTGCGAAAAATTCTGACTCGATATAATATTGCAGCTTCTCATCTTTCCGGAAAAAAACAGAGTTGGTGCTCTAATAAAAGGAAACAATCAAACTATTGATGTCAACAGCAGCCTAGTGTAATGTAGTGTTTAGATAATAAAATCCAATTTATATTTTAATGCATTCTCGAAAATGTTTCTAAATTATTATTATAATGATCTATATATATATAAAAAAAGAAAACCAAAATCATGATAAAACACAAAGAAAATCCAAACAGAAATGCAAATTTTTAATTAGAATCTAATTACAGTGTGACGACTTTTGTCAATGCAACCGTTCTAGAAATGGTCAAATCGCTATCAAACGAAAAAGAAATATCTTTATATTTCTACATCTTTCCTTTTCATTTTAAATTTACCAACATGAATATGATAATCTCATGCATTAAATAATACCCCAGAACCACACGAACGGTGAGATACGTACCAAACGTACTTGATCTGTAAGAAATAATACCCCAGAACCACACGAACGGTGAGATACATACCAAACGTACTTGATCTGTAAGAAATTATACCCCAGAACCACACGAACGGTGAGATACGTACCAAACGTACTTGATCTGTAAGAAATCGGGAAACGTCCTTTGTGAGGTCATCGTTCCTTGATTCGTTGATGAATAGTAATCAAGCAATAAGCAAATATTAGCAAAAACCAATCATTAAAAAACTATGTTGATGAAGTTTTTCAACTGCGTAGTTTGATGATGATCTTCATATGATGTTTAAACACAATTCGTTCTTAATATGAATGGAAAATCTGCAACTGAACATTAAGTAAACACCAATCAATCAGGCAATCAATCACTATCCATATCTTTTCTTTTAAAGCATGTGATATATCACACTTGCTTGCAAGAGTATGAAACGTTTCTCTTACATTTTCTACCAGTATCATGTTATTATCAATACACTTAAACAGAAATGAAAGCATTTTTAAAGTTTACGATTGTACTATAAAAGATCATACCATATTGTCATTTTATCCGACATTTTGTAATTGATGTAATAATATAATTAATTAAAGTCGGAAAGGAGAAGGTACGATCTGGACCCAGATTGGGCCTAAATGTACGTGTATTCCAAACTATCCTCTATAATTTGCAAAATCAAATCAAATGTTGAATTTATGTACTTTAACAAAATATTGCAGTTTTGCATTCAATGTATGTTTTGGATTTTTCGTTAGTTATGCAGTCATAAAATGACAGGTTAATTCAGTAAAATCTTGATTATCTGACCAGTAAATGTTAGCAATAATTTAGAACACAATAGTCGCACCAAAAGATATTACGCATTACGTGTAGTAAGTGTCATCTATTCACTGGCAAAACATACTGTTGGCGATGCATGTGCTCTAAACAGAAAATAATGTGTTTTCCAATAACACAACTATCCAACAGATACATGTACCATCGGACGAGGATGTTAAAACAACTATAAGAAAACAAAGATTGTAATGAAAGGAAAGTAGATACCAAAGAGACAAGAAAAGCAAACACAACCATAAACATAAAGTGAAACAACGAAACGAATGACAAACAAGTCTCCCTAAAACTTCACAGAAAATAAAAGAACAGAGTTCCATTGTCCCCCGCACATATTTTATCTATTCAAGGTACAAAGGCAATAACTAAAAAAAAACCCACTTTTTTTTGTTCTTTAATACTTTTTATTAATATCTTAGAGAAATGAAGGCTTCAGAGCAAATGCAATGTGATTTCCTTTATAATTAATATTTCCAAGAGGCATAACTCTGAGAGAATATTTGATCAGTGCTATAAATTTCATAAAAATCTGGCAAGAATTGTACACATTAGAGTGCTTATAAGGCAATTTTCCATATAATTAATATTTCCAAGGGGCATAACTCTTTTAGGAATTATTGATCGTCACTGATTTTCGAACTCTTAAAAGACATTGCTGATATCAACCTATGATATAAGTTACATAAAAATCTGGCAAGAATTGTACACATGAGAGCGCTAACGATGCAATTTTCTATATAATTAATGTTTCCAATTACCATAACTCTTTTTAAATAATTGATCGGCACTGATTTTCGAATTTGTCCAAGCCATTGTTGATGTAAACCTACGATATAAGTTTCATAAAAATCTGGCAAAAATTGTACACCTGAGCGCGCTAACAAGACCGTACGGACGGACGCACAGGCGGACGGACGGACGGTATTTCTATGTCCCCCGCAACGCGTTGCGCGGGGGACAACTAAAGACAGATGGACGTGAACCCCACCAAAAACCGGTAAACCGCTCTTAATTTATGAAAACTTTCCATTTCAGGACATATTTTTAAATAAATGTAGCTTTCAATACAAAACCATTCTAACATTCATGAAGTCATCTGTTTTATGTTGTTTGGTTTCTTGACGTATATTCCACACTTTAATCATATTTTCTAGCTGGAACACCAGTTTGACTTTGCATTTGCGCAAGAAGCCTTAAAATGCGTTTAATCTTTTTAAGTGGTGTTATTTTTTTTTTCGGAAAACAATTTCCGTTGTGCAAAACATTTTTTAATCTAATATAATTCGACCAATGGAATAGCTTGATAATGTTTTATTTACAAGAAAATTTATTTCTAATTTTGTGTTTATATCGTAACTTTTCCATGACAGACAAGAAAGACATATACAGGAATTTTACGACTTGTAAATTCTACATAATATACTAATCGAGACGGATTTCAGACGGAAATTAGGTGATAAACAATTTTTATACAATTTAACATTAAAGTTTGCTGAGTACTTTTCCTAAATAACCGTTGATCTCATGAATATTTTACGTAAATAATATACACATTTTTTTCAGTCTGCTGTACCATTGATTTATGTATAAGAAATCACCGGTGTGTGGCTCTAAGTGATATGAAAGACAGTTGTTAATCTCAAGACACAATGGTGCGACATTACATGGTTTTCTCTATTACTATTTCAATTGCTCTTCCATTGTCAGTTTGTTGGCTAACTGTTTGCATCTCAGATAAAGAAGCACTTCGAAATAACCTTTTACATATGAACGTATGTTTCATCGCTCTCCAGATCTCTTTCCTATATGGCCTTGATCCTAAGATGTACAATATCGGTTTGATAGAATATGAAATTGTTTGAAACAATTGTGCAATTAAAATCATTTCTGGTGGCTGCATTATCATAAGCACTCGAAACACCCCGTTTGTAATACTGAGAAAAAATGTAACGTAAGCCACTAACAGTAGTAGCCCGGATGTTTTATATTCCTTATCCTGTGGAACATATGCTGTTTGACGTCTGTGCAATCTAAAACCTGTAGATCTATTTCTTTTATAAAATTGCCATGTTTTGACACCTATAAGGCACGAAAGACAAAATATTAGCACATATGGAATCACCGAGACCACAACCGCATCAACTTTATTCAATTTGTTCCATGTTTCAAATAACTCATTCTCCGGCCAGGGATAGCAATACATGTAAGGGTAATCTGATCCAACAGTCCATGTAACATAATGATAACAAACAACGGCAAGAATCGCTAAACCGATTATTACACATTTAGCACGGAAAACAGTACAAAAATGTGCCTTCTTAGATGGCCAAAATAATCCAATGAATTTCTCTATAACAAGTGAAGCCACATACCATATTGATAAAAACGTACAAATATGATTAACATACATAATCAAAGGACACAAACCGTGGACGTGGTAAACACTTACTCCCCAATTTGTCAAATTTGTACACAATGTTGATAATAAGTATCCAATATCCACGATTGAAATCGCTGAAAAATATCTCGACGTTGATACTTTTCTCAGTTTTGACTTTGTAAATATATAAAAACTCACTACATTCCCAATCACTCCAAAAACTATGATGAATAATACTGCCCATCGGTTAAATTCCATTATATCTAACAACAATTGACTCGGTGGTGGTGGTGGCATAAAGCCTTGATAATAATCGTCTGTTTTATTATATAGCACCATTACAGGAATCTTTGTATCATTCATGCTGGAATGGTTGTACGATCCAACATAATAACCTCCCATCTCATAATTGTTAGGGGGCAAACTCATCTTGTAGTAAAATGTCTTAGTTCAGTCTCGAATTAAACCATTTATCGACTGTACAATATAAATGAAATGTGTAATGATAGCGTCATTACAATGATTTGTCTATCACTTCTTGTCTACTCTAACGATGATCGTCTATTAAAGTTTCTGAAAAGACAAAAAAAATAAATTGTAATTATAAAGGATGCATTGTACTTTAAAATAGTTTGAAATGTAGAAAGGGGTGTATTAAACGAAAGTCACAATAGATACTGGGAAAAAAAACCTGCTTAAAAGTGCAGACTTTTTGTGGTTTGTCTGCACAAATGTAAAGACTTAATTATCACAAGAAACACTAAGGTTTTTCTTTCCCTATGTACTGACGGCCTGGGGGATGTGACCTTGTTGTATCAAGATCTGGTTTTCAGTGCTCTACTGTTTTCGTCTTCCATTTGTGTTGATTCGAGTGTAACTGATGAGATTAGGGTAACCTAAAATTCAAACTAAATTAATAAACCTGATATCTAGTTAGTTTTGAGAGAAAACATAACTAATACCCTCCTCTCCCCCACATATAAAATAAAAAAAATAACACAAACAGCAAATAAACCTAGCCAACTGATGATACTAATTTGGATCTTCTCAAGTTGACCTAGCATATTGAAACCTATTTTGATTGACGAATGGACTACTACCACGTTGTAGCGTTGGATATAGAAAAAAAAACCTAATGGTTGAGTTAGGTATAGAAATATGACCATCTTAACTTATCCCGGCAGATAGCAAGACCAGTGCTTAGGAGGTGTCTTTTTGGCTGTATGGGATGCTTAAATGTATAAATACGTAAGCACACATGCAGTCGGAAACGTTAAGTCGTCGTGAGAGTATCGTGCCCTAAGCACAACAAGAACCCTTTAGGGAGAATAGATGTCCTATGACAGGGAAAATTTCGACACTAAAGCAAAAAAACCCTCATTTCAGTTACACTCCAAATTTCAAGCCCATCATCTATTCGACGTTATTGGCAGAGCCTACCTTTACAATTTGTTTTCATTTTGAACTTGCACGGGTTTATTGCATCTGACGTTAAACAAACAACAGCCAATCAACCAATCAATCAATCAAAAGATATTATTGCTATGAGGATTACATTAATTTGGGTTTCAAATGTGATCAGTCACCATGCCTGTATGCATATGTGACGAGATAACCGTAGGTTGAATTTGTAAAAAAAAATAATAAAACCACTCTTAAAAACTCGAGGAGGAAATAGTTTTATATGTTTTGTTTTATATTAGTAGTATCCTGTGTTATCTATAATTTGTGAAAAAACTTGCGTTCATAATTGTAGCTTTTACTCTATTTCCGTCTGTCGTTATTTTTAAACAAATGTATTGGATATGGAAAACTACGTTAGACAGTATAAGTTTCAAACACTAATTCACTGAAAATTGACTCATACATCTTAAGATATTTACAAAATTATATACTGATTCTCCATGTTATTATGAATGCTATAAATCTGATCCGTATATTGTTTATATCTTTGTTATAAGTATAAATTGGCAGATTTAGATTTCAAATTACAAAGAAATGCTGAGAGAAAACAGTTTCAAACTGAACCATAAAGCTGACACCCGATTTACTCAGATGTGGTATTGCCAATGAAGAGCTATCCATAGACCGAAGGACAAAAATGTAAACTATTAAAAGTCACCTTCAACTATTGCCATTTAACAATTATAGACAGAAAAATTCCGGCGTGAAAAAAATGTGAAATAATCCAAATGAGAAACCTCCGGTCTGGGTTATACTACAGCAATGACAACAACCAAAATAAAATTAGTTTAAAGATAAGTAAATTAATTCGAGTAAGAAATAAAATAAAACCGACACGTAAAATGAATAAAATGATGATTAAAAAGACTCGATTGATCAGCATCAATAAGTGCAGTTTCTGTTTGAATATATTGTTTCCAGTATTCAATTACATTCTGTCGTAATAACTTCTACTGCCATTGTTGTAATAACTGGTCGCGCGAGAATGCCGCATTTAATTGATTGTTTTTTTACTAAATACTTTTTCCAATTAGATCATTTCTACATATTTCATATATTTTATTTAAAACTGAATTGATAGTGTGTACTCAGTGTTCAACAAATTCATCAACATAACGGGAAACACACAAAATGCATTATCTCTATTTCCCCCTTCTTTCAATATTCAGTAAATTGATATGAAAAACCTCTAAGAATTGTTATCGATAATGATGGCAGGGAATTCAAATGAAAACGTGTTTGTTATCAGTAAAATTGCACTATTTCATGCCGATTTACAATTATATTTATTGATTCTCCAACTTTTATGCATCCTGTACACCATTTAAAAGAGGTACTGTGCTTTTACATTTAACTTAAAGTAGTAACTCGTTGAAAGAAAATGAATACCATGCTTCATCTGTTTAAATCACGCAATATATAACAATGATACAGTTCATAATGAAAGTTTTTTAAGGATGTTTGCTACTCTGTTTCAAAATACCAAGCTTTTTAAAAGACTGTTATAAATTGAAAATATATAAATAACGGAACTAAAAAAGCAGAAAAAAATGAATGGTCCGTGAGCTTGTTTTTGTGATATAAACCATTGAAATTTTGGCGGGAAATGATTCTCTCTAGATTTTTCATACAATTAACATTGTCACCTTTTTCTTTCAAAAACTATGAAAAAATAACAAGAATTTATAAGATTTTCAAATATGGCTTTTAAAACTATATGTAATAAAATTATGAAAAGAAAAGTAAAGCTTAGTGGGCAAATTTTTTAATGGCACTACATGGATAAAACCAGAGGATTCCGAATATCTGACAAAAATTCAAAAACAAGAGAAGCGAACATCGTTAAACGAACTATTTTCACTATGGTCACTCCATATTGTATTTGCAACCTGCGTGTAGCATCTTTTAGTGTCTTCCAGAACGTATGATATCATTCTCCATTTTTTTGTCGTTCATACTTTCGTAGCTATACTTAAATTACCAGTTTCTTTATAGTGGACAATGTATAAAATGATTACTGATGCGACAAATCTGGATAACGCAATAAATTGATTTCCAAACGGACAATTATACAAGGCTAAAGATACCAGGTCTGGCCAAGTTAATACAGATGTTGGCAGCGATGCAAAACGATGGCATACTTGGCAAATCAACTGATACAAAAAATAACGTTTAAGGTTGGGCAACATGAAATCCTGTAAAAAACGGGAGTGGCAATAGATAAAATTGAGAATGGAAACGGGGAATGTGTCAAAGAGACAACAACTCGACAAAGATGTTTGAATAGGGCAAGCTTCCTCTATTTCACATGCAACACGTGAGGCGGTCTTTCCGTTTGTTCACAGAAATAGATTAAGCATTGGCAGTTTAAATGTTTGGATACTGCTCAGGTGAGATTAAAATCACTTGCTGATAAATGTTTGATTTCTTTATTTGAGAATTACGCCACTTCTAGAGATTATATCACGTTTTTTTTCTAAATTCCTTTTAACACCTGTCTGATTATATATTTACGTCGAGACTGGTTAAAGAGTTTTACAATAATCCACAAGATCCTGCGATATACGGTGGTATCCGCTCATACCAAGTCATAGGCAATTTTTGTAGTGCTGATGCCCAATAAACAGTTCTAATTGATGTTTTATAAATAGTAACGCAAGTGATCTTGCATAATTTTTGACCACTATTTTTTATACTTAGTTTGTTTATATGAGTTTTTATGCATTTATTCATATTTCACTCTCCAACCTTTTGATTTTCGACATTTCTGTCGTATGGCGTAAAGACAAATTCACGCTTCAAAAACTGATTGAATGTGTCGGTGTGTAAGGTATAATAATATCACAATAAATAAATCACAATTAATTTCATCATTTACATGATATGTAACAAACCTGTTTTAAATTCACTGTTGATAGATTTAGAAATTATTAAAAAACTAAGGTTCGAACTCCATGGTGTAAAAATTACTTAAGGTGGATTTTTCTATTCTTTTAGTCCCTTTTATAAAGCTCTTTAAGTATTCAAGTATTTTTTACATCCTTGGCTAACAATTGTTTTGGGTTCAGCGAACCTGATAATTGTAAATAATAAAAAAAAACAAAAACGCTTCGGACGCAACAAATTTATGAATTGTTATTTTCATTAATGAATATTATTATAAATCATTTTTGGAATCACTTCTGACAACATATGGCCTTCAACGGCTATTTGATTTATTAATTTGTTTACAGTTTCTGTTTGTGTAATCTGATAGAAGATTATCGCGTGCAAATTTTAATCACCACATGTTATTCTATCGATTTTGATGAAATTCATAACCCTCGCTCCAACCAGTAGAAAAGAGAAGACTGCACAACTGCCTTTTGTGCAGGTACTTTCGTAATAATATATAATTCTACCACTACATGTATTTACGATATAAAATTTGTGATTACAAAATAATAAAAAAGTTGTAGCATTATACAATTAAAAAATAAGTAATTTTCTTTAAAAAGGCAGATTGACTGATAAACCTTATGATATTATTTTTATTGTGTTAAGATTGACATATTTGTAGCAATTACACAGGCAACTGAAACCCATTGTTTGGTACTTTTTTTCCCTTTTAAATCAACATACAACAAAGAGAGGCGAAATATACCAAAGGAACATTTAATCTCATAAGTCGAAAATAAACTGACAACGCCATGGCAAAAAAAGACCAAAAGACAAACAACAGTATACAAAACACAACATAGAAAACTAAAGACTGAGCAAGACGACCCCCACCAAAACCCGGGGATGCCCTCAGGTGCTCCAGAAGAGTAAGGATATCCTGTTCCACATGTTTTACCCATCGTGTTGCTCATTTAAGTACAAAGCCAGCGATAAGTCTAATTCGGTAGGTAACATTCGGGGAAAAGGAGGACAGGATTGTGGTTACGACGATTTGAACATATCTGTCGTCATCTGTTAAACAGATATTCCATTACGGTCAACCAACTCGTGATGACGTCCGTAAAATTTTCGAAGGAATGATTTCAACTTCACTACTTGGAAATATTGGTTTAATAGCTTCCTTATGAGCAGCAACCCTCTATCAAGGAAACGCAATACCTGGAATATCG